TGACCCAGGATTATATTCACCGGAGTTTTGAAGATTGAGGGGGATCTGATAGGAACGAATAAAATTCCAACAGGACTAGACAGGGTAAACACATGAAGGATGTTCCTGATGACCAGGGAGTTCCGAACAAGGGCTCACAGTCTAAGGATACAGGGCGGGCCATTTAGGACTGAGATGAGGAGAAACATCTTCACCTAGAGAGTGGTGAGCCTGTGGAATTCTCTGCCACAGAAATTGATTCAGGCGAATCATTGAATGTTTTTAAGAAGGAATTAGGCATAGTTCTTAGGGCTAACAGGATCAAAGAGTATGGGGAGAAAGTGGGAACATGGTACTGAGTTGGATGGTCAGCCATGATCATATTGAATGGTGAAGCAGGTTTGAAGGGCTCAATGGTCTACTCCTGCTCCTATTTCCTATGTTTCTATGTCTTGTTTGGAACTGCGGTAAAGGAGGTTTGAGCACCATCCCAGGAGACCTCTAACATACTGTGTGGGTTCCTGCAAACAAGGATATGCCTGAATGTCAGGCTGGACTGAAGGGTTAGTGAAACCACACTGAAAAATACGGATGGAACCATCTTCTCTAAGTTGTCACCAAGCACTCAATGAGCTCTAACCTGCAAAGGTAGTTTAACAGGTGTCTGAAGAACACTTCAAAGCACCAACATCCCACTTAACATATACTCCCTTGTGGAATACAAACTTGACCAGAAAGGTGATACAACTGTGTCTAACTAGAAATGTTCAGAGTGGTATCAGACTTTAAAAACAAAAAGCTTACCATGGTTGCAAAATAAATAGTGACCCTAAAGGTTGGGGGACTTTTAAAATTCAGCAAACAGCCCCTAAAAGTTGATAAAGCAGGGAGATATTAAAGCAAATGGCAAGAAATATAAAAATAATCTGTAAGAGAGTTTAGAAGTGTACAAAAAGTAAGAGATCAGTGAAATCAAATATGGTTTCCTTCATAGTGGAGCCAGTCAAAATGATAAAAGGCAATAAGGAAATAGCAGAGATACCGATCAAATATTTAGTGTTTGTCTTCAATTTGGAAGACACTAAACCAACCAAGGGACTAATTAGTTAGTGAAGAATAACGGTGAAATTAATGGGACTAAAATTCACTCAATCCCATGAACTTGGTGGACTATATCTCAATGTTTTAAAAGGTGGTGGCTGCAGGTAAGGACCTTGCATGGCTTTTATCCATCCCTGGATTCCAGGACAGTCCCTGTGGATTGGAATGCAACCCCACTTTCAAGACAGAAGACAGACAGAAACCTGGGAACTACAGGAAAGACTGCCTAGATGGATTGCAGGGAAATGCTGGAATCAATGATTCAGGACACATTATATGGATGTAAGACCATAAGGTATAGGAGCACAATTAGGCTATTTCGCCCATCTGTTCTGCCATTCGATCATGGTTGATATGCTTCTCAGTCCCATCCTCTTGCCTTCTCCCCATAACCCTTGATTCCCTTACCTATCAAGAACCTATCTATCTGTGTCTTAAATACACCTCTGCAGCAATGAGTTCCACAGATTTACCACCCTCTGGCAGAAAAAAGTCCTCCTCATCTCAGTTCAAAAGGATCCTTTCACTCCGAGCCTGTGCCTTTGACTGCTAGTCTCTCTCACTCGAATCCCTACAGTGTGGAAGCAGGCCATTCATCCTATCGAGTCCACACCGCCCCTCTGAAGAGCATCCCACCCAGACCCACCCCCCTACACCATCCCTGTAACTTTGCATTTCACATGGCTTATCCATGTAGCCTGCATATTCCTGGACATTACGGGCAATTTAGCATGGCCAACCCACCCTAACCTGCACGTCTCTGGACTGTGGGAGGAAACATGGGCACCTGGAGGAAACCCATGCAGAAGTGGGGAGAATGTACAAACTCTGTACAGACAGTCATCTGAGGATAGAACTGAATCCGAGTCCCTGGCACTTTGAGGTAGCGGTGCTAACCACTGAGCCACCATGCTGCCCCATTCTAGCTAAAACATCTTGTCCATGTCTACTCTATCCAGGCCTGTCAGAGTTCTGTAAGTTTCAATGAGATTCCCCCCATCATCCTTCTAAACTCCACTGAGTACACATCCAGAGTCCTCATCTGCTCCTACAACAAACCCTTCATCCTAGGGATCATTCTTGTAAACCTCCTCTGGACCCCCTCCAGTGCCAGCACATCCTTCCTTAGATGTGGAGCTTAAAACTGCTCACAATATTCCAAATCCTGTCTGACCAGAGCCTCATACAGCTTCAGCAGTACATCTCTGCTCTTGTGTTCTAGCCCTCTTGAAATGAGTGCTAACATTGCATTTGCCTCCTAACTGCTAGCTGAACCTACATATTAACCTTACGACAATCCTGAACTAGGCCTCTGCAGCTCCTGTGTGCTTCACATTTCTGAAATCTTTCCCCATTTAGAAAATAGTCTATGCCTCTATTCTTCCTACCAAAGTACATGACCTCACACTTTCCTACGCTGTATTCCATCTGCCACTTCTTTGCCCACTCTCTTAGCATGTCCAAGTCCTTCTGCAGACCCCCTGCTTCCTCAACATGACCTCTCCCTCCATCTATCTTTGTGTCATCTGCAAACTTAGCAACAATGCTTTCAGTTCCTTCGTCCAGACTGTTAATCAATAACATACTTAGAAAACCAAAATATGTTTTGGTAGAGTCAAACAGTTTTCATGAAAGGGAAATCATATATGACAAACATTAGAGTTCTGTGGTCGACAACTAAGAGACTAGATAAAGGTATTGTGATGATACAGCCATTAGACTCGCAATCTGGAAGTCCTGGGGACGAAACCCACCAATGTGAAATTGGTTAACAAAATCTGGAATTAAAATGTAATATGTATTGGTGATTCTGTATCGATTGTCTCATAAAAACCCAACGGATTAACTAATGTCTCTTAGGGAAGATAACCTGCTGTTCTTGCCAGGTCTGATGTATGTTTGACTTGAGACCCACAGCAATGTGGTTGACTCTTACTTACCATCTGAAATGGACTAGCTAGCCTCTCAGATCAAGGGCAATTCAGAACGGTTAACATATGCTAGCCTTGCCAGTGACACCCATTTCCCAGGAAATAACAATGAAACCAATGGATGTATTACATTTTTATTTCAGAAGGTGCGCAGTTGGGTACCACACAGATTAAGTCTGTTTGGATTGCAGGTAGTATATTAGCATGGATTAAGGATTCATTAATGGAAAGAAGACTGAGATGTATAGTACCTGTAAATGGGTCGTTTTTGGGATGGTAGGGCTGAAGTGGTAATGTGGTACCATGGAATAGGTACACCAAACAATTGTAAAGGAAAACGTATTGTAACCCTTTATCACTCATGTGTTAATGCTTGAGTGAGCTTGGGCCTAGGACATCTTCAGTGCTTTGCTCTATGAGAAGAGGGAGGCTTGCTGACAGTTGCACGATGTTTGAAATAACTCTTTAGAGGCTGGCACCCCATCACCAAGCTTCTTTATTTACAAAATGCATAGCTTTTGACAATAGCGCTGCCTCTCACTGAGTCAGACATTCAGGGGGCTCAATATCACTGATATTCATTCCTTTATGTCAGCCAGGTCTCACTGATTGGATCAGATTAACAGCCCCAGTCAGGGAACTCTTTCTTTATTATTATTATTTATCTATGGGATTTTTAAAACTCATTCACGGGATAAGGGCGTTGCTGGCTAGGCAGCATTTATTGTCCATCCCTAATTGCCCAGAGGGCAGTTACGAGTCAACCACATTGCCGTTGTCACATGTAGGCCAGACCAGGTAAGGATGACAGTTTCCTTCCCTAAAGGACATTAGTGAACCAGATGGGTTTTTCCTGACAATTGACAATGGTTTTATGGACATCATTAGATTCTTAATTCCAGATATTTATTGAATTCAAATTCTACCATCTGCTGTGGCAGGGATTCGAACCTGGGTCCCCAGAACATTACCTGGGTCTTTGGATTAACAGTCCAACGATAATACCACTGGGCCATCACCTCCCCTAAGAAGTTGCTGGTTAGGCAGCATTTATTGCCCATCCCTAGTTGCCCAGAGGGCAGTTAACAGTCAACCACGTTGCAGTGGGTTTGGAGTCACACGTAGACCAGACCAGGTAAGGATGGCAGTCTTCTTCCCTAAAGGGCATGAGTGAACCAGATGGGTTTTTCCAACAATTTGCACTGGTTT